GCTTGACGCTAGTCTGGGGGGCTGAAGAGGTGCCCAGATCTGGAGGTGAGGCTTCTCTGCTCTGCTACGCCTACAAAATGCAAAAAACGCTCTGTGCCTTGAAGCTGCGCTGGGGTCTCTGCGCACAGCCCTGGTCTCTTGCATTTCCGAAAGGCTGACGGATATGTCCTTTCTCAGGGATAATCCGGCCCTAGGCGTGACATCCTACAAACCAGCCAGGCCACAGACAGTTTCAGTGGTGCTGCACAGGGCGGACTGCTCACCTCCTCCAGCCTCCACTTCCCCGCAATCCGGACATAGTTCCCGGGACGCCCATTGATCCTGATGGGAAAAGACCAGAATTAGGCTACTCGCGCTGCCAGACTGGGACCCAGGAAGCCACGAGGTGTCCTACAGCTCCTTAGCATTTCATTCCCTTTCAATCCTTCCATCCATCCGGAGGGGCCAGAGCTTATCCCGCAAAGCAACAGGCGTAAGGCAGGATACACCCTGGATGGGACGCCAGTCCATTTCGGGCCACACAGACAGAAACACGCACACACGTGCACCAGGGCCAATTTTCCCAGAAGATAATGAACCTACTAGTGTTTCTGGACTTTGGGAAGAAACCAGACCACCTACATGGGGAGAGCACACAAACTACGCATTTAGCACCCCAAGAATTAAACCCAGGGCCCCAGCACCTGCTCACCACTGCCACCCCCTTTTTATCCTTATTCCTTTAAAAGGCAAAAGTGCCATCATCCCGAAGCCCGAGCTGTCCTTGGGCAAAAACACTCAGAGCAACTGTGCGTCCCGGCTCGGGGGAAATCTCAGTCACAGTCGGCTAGTGCCGGTGCCACGACCTGCTCGAACCTGCAGCACTTGAGCTGTCGGGCCCAAGCTGCAGTCTGAGGGACCGCCTTTAGATGTCGCGTCACCTGGGAGCCCCAGGAAGCCCTGGTCATGGGCGTACAAGGACAGATGCCAGACTAGACCCCACCCAAACCCCAGCATTCCGATCAACGAGAAGAGTCTGGACTACCGGGGCTGGAACAGGGAGGGAGGGCAGAGGGCAAAGGGCAGGGGGCAGGGGGCAGAGGGCAGAGGGCAGGGGGCGGGTCTTACCTCCCCAGAAAGAAGGCCACGTAGATGAGCGAGGAGAAGAGGGTGAAGAACTGGAAGGTGAACATCTTGACGGTGAAGCTGGTCTCCGTGGCGGCGAAGGAGCGCGTCTTCTCTGCGGGACGACAACAGAACTACGGTTTGTGTCTCCTCCGTGTTAAGCTTAGTGCTGCACCGGCAAGCAGGGTTATCCAGCGTCAAGGGGCTCTGAGTTCAAATCCAGCATTCCACACCACAGGCCAATCTTACTGGGGGGATCTGCGCCTGTAGATGGAAGGGTATCCCACCGCAGGCAGAGGAATCCTACTCCGTTGGGCCCCTGAGCAAGGCCCTTCACCCCAACTGCTCCAGGGGTGCCGTATAAATGGCTGACCCTGCGCTCTGACCCCCAGCTTCTCTCCCTGTCTGTGTGTCTCATGGAGCAAGCTGGGGTCTGCGAAAAGACAAATTCCTCATACAAGAAATTGTATAGGGCCAATAAAGTGATCTTAATACCTTTAAGCCCCCATGAGAAAAGCTCAAATATGTGTCAAATACATTGCTTGCTGAACTGATTAATAACTTACAGGGGTTCTCAATCTCTGGCAGCAGGTGACCTATAAGAGAGTTGTTGCAACTGCCAAGAGCTGGACAGCCCAGCAGGGCAGGCTGTTGTCAAGCTGTAAGCTACCACACAACCAACAGAGGGAACTGTGGGTCACTGTTCTTGACTGAGAGAAACCCCTGAGTACCGAACACACCCACTGACATCACATGTGAATGAGTGTACGGAGAGTTAAAGATTACCTTTCACAAACATAAACACTGTGAAATATACATATATAATCAAAGGATAATGTAATAGAGAGAGTAATTATTGCACATACCCAAATTACACAGGTATAAGGCCACTTTCCTGTTCACCTGGAAAACAAATAGGAACAGTTATAATAGATGACTTATTACAGATAACACTGTGGTTTTGTTCGCCTTTACTGATACGCATCAAAGAACAGAGAACAAAACTGGTTAGAGGAAGAGAGATGATGTAACCTCTACCCCATTAACCACAGTGTAGTTTCAAAAAAGTTATTATTACTATTTACCTGGAACAAAGATATAAGCACATTATGTGTTAAAGCCAAGAAACTTCACTGAAAAATTCTACTGTTTTGATATCTAATCTTTTGCCGATTTCATAATGGAACATTAAAAGGAATGACCGGAAACACACTGGTCTTCAAACACTTTTCACCCTGCGAAATATACCACAGCCGCACACACACAAAGACACACGCACAAAGGCGCGCACGCACACACACCCAGGCTCGCACACACACAAGGTGCGCACGCACACAAGGTGCGCACGCACACAAGGTGCGCACGCACACACACACACACACACCAAGGCTCGCACACACACCCACATACACACAAGGTGCGCACGGGCACACACTCACACACACCAAGGTTCGCACACACACAAGGTGCGCACGCACACAAGGTGCGCACGCACACACCAAGGCTCGCACACACACACACCAAGGCTCGCACACACACCCACATACACACAAGGTGCGCACGCGCACACACTCACACACACCAAGGTTCGCACACACACATACAAAGGCACGCGCGCACGCACACACACACACACCAAGGTTTGCACACACACAAAGGCACGCGCGCACACACACAGGCACACACACACACA